TTACCATTTGGCCAAAAAATTCGGAAATTTCGGTTTGAAGTCAAATGGTAAGGTAATTTTTCGGAAATTGTGGAGTACCTTCAGAGGTAATCCTCTTTTTCCATTCGGAACGGAAGGTCATAAAATTCCGTTTCCAGGCCATTCCGCTTGGGTTTCCTTGGATTGGAGCGGGACGAAACGCCTGATGGATAAATGGTAAGCTCAATCTCATCCGGTTGGTCCATGAATTCGGAAACTCCCTTACCTTTATGCCACGGTTACACCAATCGGATTTTTCTTACAAATGGTAAGCACCCCTTGTAACACTCTCCTTTGTTGTGAATGATCTTCGCGATTATTTCGTTTTTGGTTTAACGACGCTCAATCGAAAAGCGCCCTACAATGGGAATCTTGGATAAGCTTTTGTTATAAGACCAGTAAGCTAGTAGGACGTACTTTTACCTTGAATTTTTTTTTTAGGCTGAGTACGCCGCACATACTTCGCTACACAGGTTTAATGTTAATAACTATTTCTTTTTAATTCCTTTGTATTCAACGATCTTTAGCTCTGCCACAAATCGACACGCCTTTAAGCAGTTCAATACTCCTACACCTCTCAGACGCTCTCAGGTAATGAGTGTTTTTGTAATTTTTTCGTCCTTTTACTGTTATTCAGGCTTTTTCTTACCTTGGTACATGTAAAGTAACTGTCAAATGTATTGGGAACACTGTGGTTCATTAGTTTGCGCGCCGAACGATCTGGGTTTGAGTCCTGGCCGGGGAGAATGTGTTGTGGTCCTCTCTCTCTCTCTCTCTTTACCCAAGACTATAAATTTTACAACTGGCCCTAGCCAACAATCAGGGAGATGTGAAAAACTGATTGCCTCCAGTGAAATGGCAGACATCTTTGTTTATGAGCGGTCCATCTGAAAGTTAACAGTTTCTCCAAATTCTCTTCAATCGACTCCATCTGTGATCCTTCTTTATGGAGAAATTAAGTATCAAGTTGGATAGACATAATGTTCGCTTAATAAAAGGCTATATACAAGGCTAAAAGAGTAGGAAAAATTATTAAAATCTTATGTCTCCAAACTTTTCACATCGGGAATCACATAAGATATATATGTATGCAAAGACGGTCATTATTTTCAACCCTGATGATGGCAAACGGCCGAAAACGTTTGGTTTAAACATTTTAATAAATTTTTCCTAATCTTTTAGCCTTGTATATATAACACCTAAGTTGGATAGAGTTTCAGAACAATTCAGTCGAGCTTAGAGAATACCGCAATCAAACTTGAGAAAAAGAAAATCCCTCTCATTTTGTAGGTTAAACCCATCTGTCGACATTCCCCGTCAACTTTTGAATCATCTCCAAAGCCAGTGATGTCACCTGACCTCTTGATGTCCCCGGATGTGGAAATGACTTCTTTAGAATTTAAGGAGAAGAGACTGGACTTTACGTAGCGATTTATGGGCTTGGTGTTACGTGGAGTTGCTCTAGAGAATTCAAGATTGGGAGTGGATCATTACAAGTTTGTTGATTATGAGTACAAGGAGTGATTATATGGCACGTAAGATGAACTAATTAAAGAGCTGCTTAAGTTTAAGTGCATTGTAAGCTTCGTTCTGTCGATCTTTGATTCCCCTAGTGGAAAATTTAGGCTTCCCCCGTGTGTTATCGCTCTAAAAATTTCAGAGCAGGTCGAACGCTGTTTTTATCTGCGAAGAAGTCTTGACAAAAACTGAGAACATTTCGTTATTTTCAACTGAGTCTTGAATTTGCTCTGGGATTCGTTGGTTTTGATTTGTGATTGGTTTGGAAAACTTACGCTCGCTACCTTCCCGAGCAATCAGAATCAAACTAAAACTTGCTGCGACTTAATCACGCACGTTTTCCTGCGCTTCTGATCATTTACATTGAGTTCTCATTGGCTCCCTCGAGTGCCTGCCTCCTCCTTTGTTCTGATTGGCTGTGACAATTGCTATGAGTTTAGCTTCATGACACACAACAACGAAACGCGCTCAGTTGGTTCAATTGTTAATCCTGGAGTCGTCATACATAATTACGATTAAATGGTTTAAAACTAAGAGAACTTTTAAATACATAAAGAACTTTTTTTAAATGCTGCTTTTAATGGTTGTTGCCTTCCAGATTGAGTTACAGGAATGTCATAACGTGACACATTAGCTCCTACTGGTTTCCCAACTTTTTTCGCTTTTTCCTGTTCATTGACCTCAGTTGCGAGAAAGGTTTCGTAAGTCTGACTAATCTTTGCTATAAGGATCCATTCCTGTCGCCATGGCATCCGCCAAAATGTCGAATGTCAGCGCCCAGGCCTTGTGGCATTCATCAGTGAAGAGGTCTCTTAGTTCTTGTGAAAGTGTGAACAGCAATGCTTGTTTCACTACCTGTCATGACAAGTAAAGTTTAACATTATGCACCAAAATACATAGCATTAATCGAGAGATAAGTTCCCTAAAGCTTCAGTACCAACTCGTATCTTGTTCGTTACAAATGCTTTTTCCTTCGTTCCCTTCTCTTAAAGATATGTTCACTATATCTTCATTATACTTGTATATCTTAAAAAAATTTCCTCTTTTCATGTAAAAGAAAAGGTTTCTGTGTAGCTTCTAACTGCATGTCGTAAAACTTAAGATATGTTCAAATTCCTACGCTCCCCAACCTTAAAAAATGTTATTGTCCGCCTTTAAACTGCACTTTAGGTAATATGCTTTTAAAACTCGTTTCCTTCACTCGTCTAAAAGTTTTTGTACATAAACTTTAAAATACTTTTTTCCAAGCATTTGTAATCCTCTTCTCGGGATTGCACAATATTAAGACAGGATTTCACTGACAGCCCGTTACGATATAGGAGCCCACAATACTTACGTTAAGCTGATGCCTTTTTATCCCCATGTTGGCATGAATCGTTCCTAGTCTCTCCAGAGTAGGTAATAAAGGGGTTAGGTCGTCTAGATTTTGTAAAGCTTTATCTAAGGTACTGATAACTGACGTGATATGACTTTGGAATTCGTCGCTGTCTAGGTCGGAGCTGGAGAAATAGTTCAAGGCTTCGGGAGCAATTTGAAATATCCTAAAAATTGTACAAGAAGTTAATGAATGCATAACCATAAATCCTAAGGGCGCAACTTCTCTCCAAGCTGTCAAGAAAATCTAAGGTTCAGCAAAACCGGAAGAGGTGAGAAAAATTCACGGCGGTGAAAAGGAAAGCGAAAGCATAGCTCAGCACGTAGACGCGGGAACAGAAGAAGTTTGAGAGGTTAGGTAAACACTCCAGAGTGCCAAATTATTACCTGCTGATAACCCCTTACCACTCAGGTTTTGACCTCCAAAAATCATTTGCTTGTTTTAAGGAAGATAAGGAAATGTGTGGCAAACATAACTTAGGCTGTTATCTCCACAGTCTGTAAACGTTCTCTGTAGAAGGTCAAGTGCTTTCCAGAAGCTGCCTCTTCTATCATATCTGTTTACTATAAAACCTGACTCTCTTTGTTTTCTACTTTTTTCAGTTTCGAAGGTGGAAATCTGAACAGTGTTTATCTGGTTTTATGGTTTAGTCGATGTAACTAGCTTTAAGAAAATTGCTAGTACCGCACACGAAGACAGCGCACCGCAAGAATCAATTCACAACCCGTTCAAGACGTGAAAATTTACATCCTGTTTAAAAATTCAAGCTTATAGGCCAAAATAGGAAGTGCCCCTCGGGGAAGGGCAACGAGAAACGTTATCACTTAATTACGCCTGATCGCTTAAATTAAGCAGTCGGAAGCATGAAAATGAATTTAATATCTGGAGAAGAACGTCAATCAGTGCGAAAGTTGTTTTTGAATGTCACGTAAAAGCATTGTCTTAGCCTCTTTTACAGGAAAATTAGCATTGTGAGTGGCGGCGCAAAGCCAGTCAACTAACCAAGCGTTAAATTGCTCAAAACATTGAAACGTGTAAGATCCATGGTAAATTTACATATAGCAAGAAAATGAAAATTCGATACGTCACAACAATCTGATTCGTTTGATGGTCCTTGAAAAATTACCCTCTAGATGGAGGAGAAGACGAAGTATCAGTTTTAGTAGGATGGAATAGTATTGAATTGGAAAGAGTGAAGCGCAGGGTAGGACGTGGGCTTTAAGATAAAAAAAAGATTGACGCAGATTGCTGATAATAAACTTGAAACGCGCGGCTCTGATTTTCCAAAATGCAAATGCATCAACCGACTGAACGTTTCCTACAACTGCTTCAAAGCCGGCGCAATACTCACCTCTTGAATAGTTTCTGTCCTGCTTGGACCTCTGGTTTTGCCGCTTCCCTCCACGTGTCCCTGACAAGAACTTTGTCATCTTCACTAAGTGCTTTTGGCGAGGGAGTCAGATTGCCGCCGGCTGTGTTTTCCATAGCTGCTCGAGTTATCATCTGCTCTCTGAGGATAAAGGAGACTGGCAAATTGTCAGATAGAAGGTTGGGGTCGAGTCCATTCAGATAGCTTTTCTTTCAAAGCTTTCAGGGTGTTCTCTCTCGATTGAAACAGAGATGAAATAATTGGTTGAGTTTAAGAGACACAGAAGAATCATGCGGAGCTTCCTCCATTTTCGTAAGTCCTACAAACATTAATTGTTGATTGTCTCCAATGATATTTCCTGTTTGAAGGAAATTGTCGTTAATCCAATCATAAGTTTGATTTGTCTTAGGAAAGATAGATCTACTGAAATTCATTTTCAGTGGCTATAGTGTATTGTTACTTCTATGTGTACTCTTAAACTTACCTTCCCGTTTAAGTATTAACGTCCACTGGTCCGGTGAAGTTTGTCAATATAGGTTTCAAAGTTCTGATCTCTGGTTACTTATGATTGTCATAAATTAAAAGCCTCGCTAAAAATAATATGTCCATATTACTTTTAGCGGTGAATTTTAATAAGACAAGCAATGCACCATCTTAATGGATGTGCTATTGTAAAGTTCTTTTCTTTCAATAGATGCGCTAAAAGCTGAAAGTCCCAAATACAAAATATTACTATTTCCAGTTGTCTTGGAAATAACCAATGAGATTTTACGACCTTCCATGAATTATGGTCAGTTGCTTTCATAGAAACATATCTATCTTCACGAGAGGAAGTACATTGAAATGCCGGAGAAAGAGTTTTGATGAGCCTGTGAAACAGTAGCCTCCAAATCTACATTAGGAGATCACCAGAATAAGCAATATTAGACATCGCAGTAGTTCTAAACCAACACTTATAGCACTTGGTCTAATTTTAATCTATTCTCTAAAGTTTTCTTTTCTTTTTTTTTTTTTTTTTTCGATCTGTTTTCTTATCTCTGTGGCGTATGTCGGTAATTTCTGTGACGTGAAAAAAAGTGAATACTTTGTCTCCGTCTGCTCTGTTTCTTCATTGGATTGTTAGGTTGGCTTAATCAGTTAATATTTTCAATATATACCTTCAAGTATTTCCCATCCCAACCGACCCAGACAGAACAGATAATTGCAAAGGATAGACCACAGCATCAGGACAGGCAGTTGTTGACTGGCTTCGTCTTCTGCTAGAAAAAGGTCGAGAGTTGTACCTCAAGGGTCAATTTTAGGCACTTACCTGTTAACCATTTACATCAATGATCTGCCCAACAACCTTGAGAATGGCATTCTCACCTTATGTGCTGATGATACAGCCTTACACTGCTCTTAAGCTTTTAAATGGCAGACCGACTTTGCTAATGAGGTCAGACTATTACGGTGGCTGATTGACCATAAACTGACACTCAATGCTTCGAAATCTAACTGTAATGCCCATGGGTGGTCCGAAAAACATTATTTATTTCAGCAAAGTGATCTTGACAATCAATGAAAGAATTTTGGGTCGAGTTAATTCGTATCAGGGAGTAATCGTCACGGAGAATCTGACTCGGTTAGACCACTTAGAATATTCAGCTCCGTAACAAGGTTTTGCAAAGGTTTGGCTTTCTACAAAGAAAAGAATGTTTTTCTCAATAGACATACAGAGCATTTTGTTAAAACATACCTTAGTTATACAGTGTGGTTATCACATGGGGAGATTCAAACTAGATGGATAGCTAGATAGATAGATAGTTAGATAGACGTTTATTAAGAATACCTAAATAGCAGCTGGAAGCTGAATTGCAAAGGTGTACATATCATGTAATAGAACTATACAATAAAATCAAACTTAAAAGGGAACTAATTTACATATACAATTATAATAAATGTTAGTTAAAATGTCTTGCGCTTGCTGGAACTCTTAAAACTAACATGACTCTTAGGAAGAAATTCTTCATGCTACAAAATTTAGCTGCCAAAATCGTACTCAATATACCAAAAAATTCTTCTGCTATAAATGGGGCATTCGATCAGCTCGGCTGCGTGGGATAACTAGACGAAAAGGAGATTTCTTAGATTGATATTGTTTTATTATTTATTGTTTTAAACAGTTTAATTCACTGATATTTTCAATTTCCTAATTTTAAAAACATTCATGATTACTGTACAACACTCGAGGTAGAAATAACATTTGTAAGCCCCCCGTGACGTCGCTCCTGGGGACAAAACTGTTTTATGTTTCAAAACGCTAATGATTTGAACATTTCGGCATTTCTGACATTTTAATCAATATGCTAATTTCTTTAATTTTCAACTACTTCGGTCTCTGTTAAAACTTTTCATTTTTCACTTTTTTGGCATTTTTATTATTTCTGTAATTGATTTTATACAGGGCCCACTGAAAACCCTACTTGTGATGTGGGCTCCCCGTTGAAATATTTTTATTACCGTGTTTTTATTACTATGCTATTATTAATTTTTTTTAATAAAGAAAACGTGTCCTGCTCTGTTCTAAAGGCCAAAATATGTTATTTACATCTGGAATCAATTTTAATTATGTTTCTATCAAAATAAACAGTTCTTTTCGTTAAAAAAAATAATTTATACCCTCCTCTTTTTACTATGTAAATTCGCATTGAAACAAGAATCTCTTTTTATTGGTGATCACGTGTACGTTCCCGATAGCCTTTTCGCGTTGAAAAAAACTAAAAGATATATTACAAGGAGAAGCTTGACGCTGAGAGGGAAAGTCCTAAACAAACGCTTATAACTTAAAATAAATTACGAACTTCCTTAGGTGTATGAATAGTAAAGCTATCAACTGAGAAGGCTCCCACAGTTCAATTCCAACAAATTTATGGCCATTTCGCTGACCGAGCATTCGTCTTGCATTTACTACCGAAACAGGTAGACGTGACTTAAAAGGTGGTAGCACAAAAGGCATACGCACGTAATAACATTCCTTCACATTTCTTTGCCCGCGATTTTGCTGTTTGTCGTCGTTTATCTGCTTTCGCTTAGTTATACATGATCCAGCTAAAAGTGTTCTATAATATTTCTTTTCAGCTAAAATCGAATCGATTATCGCTATCGTCTACGCTTTTACCACGGATATAAGACCTTCCTTGATTGTTCATAGAAAAGCTCGCCATCGTTTGATTCTCAGAAATGTGAAGGAATACGATCACGTGTGCTTATGTTTGAGGCGTAAGAGATAGATCACGTGGGCTTAATTCGAATATGTTTCTCTGCAGTGGCAACTGTTTCGCGCGTCTCCGAAAAAAAACAGTCAACCTGTTTCGGTAATAATAGAAGCCAAGTCGCTAGAGGATTTACTAACAAAATTCGAGGGGAATTGATGTTTTAATTGGGCAACTGAGCCGGCATAAAAGGTATTTCCCTCCGGCAAATGTCTGTTATACATGTGGAAAACCTGCTCGTTCTGAGCCAACATGTACTGGAATTGTGGACTCTTCAAACTGTGGTCCAAGGACTTGCGGCGCTTTTTTGAACTGGAGCAGCAGCATCACACTCTACAACTTAAAAGGACAGAAAGTTGATTTAAAATTTACGCAACGAAAAGATGAAGTCCATTTATTTGCTCTTATTGTTTTTTTTTTTCTTGCCCCTCTCCTTTACTCCTTACACCTTACTCTTTTAGCATCATTTTTTTCCCGATGATTTGCTTTGACCTGCGCAACGGACTTCGCCGAGAAAGGAGGAAATGCTCGTGGTCTACTATTTTCATCAATTGTCATAAAGCCAAAAGCAATACAGCAGAAATACGCGTAACGAGAAAGGTTGCTGGTGTTATGGCCGAGTCCTTCTACATTATCCCATCGTAGTTGGAGGGAAATATTGGATCAAATTAGCCGACTAAAGGGATTTAAAATCCAAGGGTAAATTAAGTATTCTCTTCACTCCAAGTGAAGTGATTGGCTTCAAACGCAGGAATACACAAGCAGCCAAATCGCCACTAGTAGTTTTGAACTTATGAATAGTTGGAAAAATAGACGGTGCAGGGTTGCTGAGCCAATCACGGAACAGTGTAAGCTACAACACTGCAATACCGTTGCAATCCCGGAGTATCTATGTCAGTCAATTAAAAATTCTTATTTTATTCCAAATGCAATCGAACCTGGAATAAAGATGATAATTGAAATACAATAATATTTTAGCGACCATACCTCCTCTAAACTTTTTCAAGGCTCCCGTGCAGCGTACCTCACGAAGAACATCACACAGTTTTTCGGTAGTAGCTTCCACGCCTAAATGTTTTTTCCACTTCAGTAGACTTTGGTAAAACATCTCTTCCACCCCATATTCCCTATGATTCACGCACACATTTTCGATTTCCGGCTCACTGAGACCCAGTTTCCGCAGAACATCCTTCCATTTCAAACCGATTTCCCCGCGTATACAGTTGAAATGTTCTTCTGTTACTGGTTGTCTGTCACTGCCTAACGAGGCGATATCGTGGCTGAAATATTCTGTTTGATTGGTCTGGGAATCAGCTACAAAAAAAGTTAAAGCAATTTATCAGACAACAGTATCGCATTTCTCAGGAAAATGCTCAGGTAATTTCTTCACTTATTCACCCACATTAGTGGCGGAGAAAGTGGAGCTTTCACTGTATCATCAAGTCACGTCAATCCTCCCATGAGACTATAATCCCCTCAACTAAGCTGCAGTCCTCGAAAGAAATTTACAATTGAGTGTCTTTGGCTTGTTTTCCTTCATTCTTTGATTGGTTCAGAAAGTTCGTGCCACCTTCTCGACCAATCAGATTTAAAACTTGAATCAATCCCAACTTGTCTCGTTTTCCCGCGCTTTAGGCAGTTTGCTGGTTTTTACTTTGAGTTCTCATTGGCTCCTTGAGATACTAACCTGATTTCTGACTGTTAGTGAAGATTACTTTGG